CTGACTCCTCTGATGAACTGGACTTCGTGAAAAGCAGAGACAATATTTCCTCATATGACCCAGCTCTGCACACTCATAGCAATCCCTATAAAAAAATGGTGGCAAGTTCTGAGGCAGACCTCGAGAACCAGAATAACTACCAGAAGAACCCGGTACCGATGAACCCTAAACTGATGGTGCACGAGATAAACTTTGAGGTGGAAATGCACCAAGAGAAGACTGACTCTATCGAGCACTATATGAACCATGGCTAGCTAATGTGCCACGATGAGCTGAACGAGCTATCTGAGTGGGCCTATAAGGACGACCCCTATTGTGATAGGGGTGCCCCCAGAAGGAACACCGTTGGAATTACCCGAACCACGAGATCTCTTGGCCTCTCTCTCCTCATGCTCCTGAGTACGTACCATCTCTAGTCGTCAAGCATTGTCAATCACATCGTCGAATTTAGCACCTGCTACATTCCCCAGAGTCATAACAAAACGGAACTATTGGTTGAGGCCATTAATGAACCTCCTGATCTTCTCCCTATCACTGGGAACCCTCTAAACTACATGACGAGCTAATTTTGAAAATCGCATCTCATACCGAGTCACGAACAGATCCTTCTAACGTAAATACTCAAACTATCTGCGCAGATCCTCTCTGCGGGTTTGTGGCACAAATTTCTCCAGGAATAATACGGAGAACTCATGCCATGAAAGTGGTGATGCACCAACTGGTATGCTCCTCTCATAAGTCTCCCACCATCTGAAAGCTGCTCCGATCAACTGAAAAGTAGTAAATGAGACTCCACTAGTCTCCAGAATACCCGCAGTACGAAGCATCTATTGGCATCTGTCCAAGAAATCCTGGGTATTCTCTTACCCAGTTCCACTGAAAGTTGGAGGGTGGAGTCTCCCAAACCTCTCTAATCTCTTTTGCTTCTCGTCATTCATAATAGAACCCACCTGGGCCTGAGCAGCTGTAACCGACTGGACTGGTAGTGCCCCCGATATCTGAAGTCCATGCACTACCTGCTCTGGAGAACGGGCGACAATGGCATGAGTACCTCCCCCGGCCTGAGAAGTGGCTGGTGCGGCCTAAGGCGTAACCACCTCAGCAAGGCTAGTGCAAACAGTCAATATCTGTGCTAAAGCCTCCTGAAGGCCTGGAATCACAATAGGCATAGCTGGTGCCTGAGCTGGCCCCGCTGGCTCGACTATATCTTGAACCTGCTCCTGAGATTGAGCAACTGGTGGTTCTACAGGTGTTGCTCTAACTCTTGTACGAGCTACACCTCGACCTCTACCACGGCCCCGACCTCTACCACGACCCCGCCCTCTCGTGGCCCTAACTGGTGGCTGGCCGTTTGATCCGGTAGTACTTGTCATCACCATCTGTGAGAGAATAGAATAACAGAAATTTAGTTTCTGAAATCAACAAATTCGCACTACAGAATATAAGAAAGTGAAATTTTCCTAAGGGTTCGACAGCCTCTCGAAGATAAGTACAGACGTTTCCATACCGATCCGCAAGACTTTACTAAACCTACTCATCACTCGTGAAACCTATGTAACTTAGGCTCTGATACCAACTTGTCACGATCCAAAATCCGCATATCGTGATGGCGCCTATCTCAATACTAGGCAAGCCAATAATCTCAATAAACCACAATTTCTATTAAGTTTGAAAACATAATATATAAATTTAATAGAAAACCCACACACATACTGATATAAATACACTCCCAAAATCCGATGTCACTGAGTATATGAGCATCTCAATAATAACAAAGTTTGACTGATGAGAACACTGTCTGAAAATATAGAACAGTACAATAACTGAAAGGAAAGAGAGTCAAGGTCTGCGGACGCCAAGCAACTACCTTGATAATCTCCAACAGATAAATCCTCAAATCTGGCAACCGCCGTATCCGGAAGTACCTGGATCTGCACACGAGGTGCAGGGTGTAGTATGAGTACAACCTACTCAATAAGTAACAAGACTAACCTTTGGGATGAAAGTAGTGACAAGCTCAACAAGTACAGTTCAGTATAGAAATAACAGTACAGAAAATGTAGGCATGCTTTCAAGTTCAACAATAAGCTCAGTACAAGAAAAATAGATCAATACTGAATGATATGAGGAATATGACATCTCAGTGGAAGAACCTCGTATACTCCCAATCACAATTACTCGATCACACAATATTGTATATGGCCAATCCATCCCAGGGAAATATTTATCCCCAAATTATAATGATTCGGACAAGATCCATGTCCAGAGAAATTCATCACAAATATAAATAAGTAAGGCAAGTCCATGCCCTGGGAAGTCCGCCCCGAATATAAATCATCTACGCTCACTGTGGGGGATGCAGACTCTGGAGGGACTCCTTCAGCCCAAGCGTAATATAAAGCCGATATGGCATGCTGCAGGCGGGCAACCCCGATCCATATAATAATAAAGCCTATAACGCATGCTGCAGGCGAGCAGCCCCGATCCATGGAATAATAATATATATAAAGCCGATATGGCTTGCTGCAGGCGGGCATCCCCGATCCCATAAATATTCTCACAATTGATGAACATGACTGAGTATGAAATGCATATTTTTAAACAATTAAATTCAAAAGCAACACAACCCTATGGGTCCAAAAAATATCTGCACGTAGCCTAAATATGATCTTTAATACGAGTCTCTATTCAATTTCTCTAACACGTGGGGAATATGTGGATAATAACATGATTCCATAATTTTTTTACAAGTCCACATAATTTATTCAAGTCACAATTTCTATGGTGCACCCCCACACGCTCGTCACCTAGCATGTGTGTCACCTCCAACAATTGATATAACACAAAATTCATGGATTCATATCATCAGAACCAAGTTTAGAAATACTACTTACCTCAGACCGTACTCCGCTATGCTTTTGCCTCGCGAATTGGTCTCTGAAAGCCTCGTATCTAGTCATAATTAATTCGACTCATTCAATACAAATCATACGAATTTATTCCATATGAAAATACTAATTTCCATCATAAGCTGAAATTTAACTCAAAATCGCTCGTTGGTACCACGTCTCGGAACCCGACAAAAGTTATAAAATATGAACGCTCATTCAATCACGAGTCCAAATTTATCAAATTTCGACATCAACTCGACCTCCAAATCTCAAATCTTATTTTCAAATCCCTAGGCATAATTTATCGAATTACACCTCAAAAATACGTAATCTAGTCGGAATACTCAGTGATAATTCAATATTATTGACTAACAATGATCACAAGGGACTTAACTCAAGTTTTCCCGTGAATTATCGCTCAAAAATCTCCTCAACCCGTGTTCTTTCTCCCAAAAATGTTGAAATGAGCTAAAAAACAAAACTGCTCAATAAAAACACTAATCTGGTCGCTAAAAGTCCATTTTCCGTCACTAAAGGTCCACACCAGAACCTGCTTGCACCAACAGTTTATTTTTTCACTAAAAAAGCTCTAACTCCATCATATGAACTCGGAATTTGACGATTCTTATTCTTGTGAGCCGCCAATTATTATATGAACCTAGTCGTTCAATCGAAACTCAATTCGAAGCTCATTTCCTCAATGTGATACCAATTTTTCTCGTTAAATAATTAACTCATGTTTCGCGCTAAAAATCCAATCGCGACTTGATGAACTTAGACCAAACATTCCAGATCATTCCTACAATTCATTATCAAAACCTAATCGCGACTTGATGAGCTTAGACCAAACATTCCAGATCATTCCTATAATTCATTATCAAACTCCCGAAAGTCTCAAAATCTAATTTTGATCTCCCGTACGTACTATGTGACGAGAGTCCATGCGTAGCTATATTCCATGTGATGTCTGGGTTGTCTTAGGCTTACACCATGCCTTGTTTGCACTGTTATATTGGTTATGCACATTATTTGCTTTGAAATGAGCTGATATTAAGGATTTTAATATTTAAAGTCTCTAGTTTGGATTTCTTATATTTGGGAAGAATTGGAGGATTTTATAATAACTATGATAATTCCATGTTTACTCGCGTCACAAGTATTTACGCGAGCGAGGTAAATTTTCTCTACTCTCATGGGAGTGGGCCGTTCGCCTCGGCAGGTTAATAGATGCATATATGGTTCATGTCGTTCGACCCTCGGCAGTGCACACAGTATATACATATATTTTGGATCGGGTCGTACGACCTCAGCATAAATCGTGCGTAATATTACTTGGAGACTAATCTTCTTGATATGATTTTATTGGCTTGAGAGGTTATAATTATTTAAATGATGGGAATTGGTTTGGGATTTATTATTAGTGAAAGAAATATTTATTTACCGCTTGTTATGCAGATTTATGGTTATTTACATAACTCATGCTTTTAGAATTTCAGTATTTTATTGTTAGCCCATAGTAAGTATCGAAGTCGACCTCCGTCACTATTTCTTCAAGGTTAGACTAGATACTTACTGGGTACATATTGTTTATATACTCATACTACACTTCTGCACTAATCGTGCAGGATCTGAGGTAGGTGCATCTTGACATCATCCCAGAGTGCACTCCTGATACATCGAGACTTAGCGGTGAGCTGCCTTCCGAGCCGTTCTACAGCATCCGAAGTCTTTCTTTTGTATTTATTTTCTGTCTACTTTATTTCAGACAGTAGTTTAGTATTTTATGTACTCTACTAGTAGCTCATACATTTGTGATACAAGGTCTTGAAATTTTGCTAGTAGACACTTAATGATTTTTTGAGTATTTATTTTACTGCACTTGATCTTACAATTTGTTACGTTTTATTTTATTAAATTTTCTCATCTCTTACTTATGTAATAATTAAAAATCAACTAATTCAAAATGTTAAAAAAATAGATATACGGTTAGTTCACTATTGGCTTGCCTAGCGGCGACGTTGGGCCCATCACGACCTATAGGAAATTGGGTCGTGACAATCTTGTTATTATTTCCCCCTAAACCCAATTTTCTTCTCATTTTCCATTCCCCCCAAACCTTCTATCCCTTCTCTAACATTTCTATCCCTTCTCTAACATATTCTTCTTCCACCCCTCCGGCGATTCCGACGATTCCAACCTAGTAAGTGTCACTTTCCATCACTCTCCTTACACCCCTCTCTATTTCTTTCTCCATTCCTTTTTTTTTTCCTTCTCTCTCCATCCCTCTCATTCGAAGGTTTCTTCTTACAGGCGGTAGCTTCCGGCGGCGGCGACGACATTAACATTGAGGTTAGTAATTTCTTTTTCTTTTTCTTTTTTAGTACCTAATTCGCCCTCCTAATTGGGTTTTTTAATTTGTGCATCCCTAAAATTGAATTCAATACTGTGGCTTAGATGTCTAGTTTTTCTATTTAGATTTACTCTAATTTGATTCTCCGTGCATCTCTAAAATTTAATCATAACCTTATTAACAATATTGTGCATTATTTATAAATTGGAGAGTAATATGGAAGTTTATTTGATGATGGTGTATCTTATTAACAATGTGCATTAATTAGTGAATCTAAGATTTACTTTTATTTACATAGCATGCTTTAAGATAGTTGAAAGCTCTATATCATTTTATTTTAATAGTTTAATGTAACTAATGAAATCTAATTTAACTTAAATTAAGGGTCATACGATCATGAGACTTATGTAGTTTGCACGAAATTTAGTAGTTATCAAAAAATTAACTCCTAAGATTGGAACGTATTCATCAAATTAATAAGCTTAGATAGTCAAGTGATATATATTTTAAAGAGTTAGGCATATATATAACTTATATTATTGAAATCATCCAAGTATTATAAGATTTACATTTATTTACATAGCATGCTTTAAGATAGTTGAAAGCTCTATGTCATTTTATTTTAATAGTTTAATGTAACTAATGAAATCTAATTTAAGTTAAATTAAGGGTCATACGATCATGAGACTTATGTAGTTTACACGAAATTTAGTAGTTATCAAAAAATTAACTCCTAAAATTGGTACGTATTCATCAAATTAATAAGCTTAGATAGTCAAGTGATATATTTTTTAAGGAGTTAGGCATATATATAACTTATATTACTGAAATCATCCAAGTATTATACTTAAAAATATAATAAGTGATTGGATAAGTAACTTTAATAAGAATGTGACTTATTAATTAGGTTGTTTGATTAGTTAGTATTGATAGGTTAATTTTTGGGAGAAGGAAGCTTGTCCTTTGTTGGAAAGAATAATAGAAGAAGAAAGAAGTGTTTTTAATCACTTCATGCCTTATATAGTTTGAATAATTTGAGAGATATTTTGGAGAGAAATCAAAGTATGACTATATTATTAATAAGCAAGATCAGGTCCAAAATTAGTCAAATTTCAATAATATTGTTTAATTCATTTTTAATTTTCACTAGTTTTTTATTTGACAAATATATTATATTAATTAAAGTCATGTGTGGACTTTATGAATATATGAGAAGTAATTTAAGGAATTTATATTTTGAGAGACTTATATAGCATAGAATAGGGATAAATGTAAGATTTCGAATGTTAATGTTTAAAAGAATATAATATATTAATTAAAGTATGTTGGAAAATAATAAGTAAATTTGAAAAAATGAACATTCGAATTAGCTTAACCTATTAATTACTTTAAATAAACTAAAAATTATAAATATCTTATAAATTTTAAGTTTTTTTGTTTGTGTATATGGCATTTGCGTATCGTAGATATAAGTATAATATGAATCATCCTAATCGTGTGGGGTTAAGGGATGAATTTAAAGAAGGGGGTGCTGGATTTATTGCTAAGGCAAGGACACATGATGATTTACGTATTGAAGGAACGTTTATGTGCCCTTGTGTGAAATGCAAGTGTGTTAAGTTATTGGGAGAAGATGGTGTTACATGTCATATTTAAAAAAAAAAGGATTTATGGAAAATTATTATGTGTGGACTGCTCATGGGAAGAATCTTGATAGCGTAAATGATGTTGATTTTCATAATTATTTTGGTGGTGAGGAGGGTAGTCCCGTAGTGGAGAATAATGTTAAAAATTCTAGATTCAATTACATGATGAAGGATGTCTTTGAGATATTCCCGGGGGCTCAATCTGAATCAAATGATGAGGCTAAGAAGTTCTTCAAAGAGTTAGAGGAAGCTAGTTATCCGTTGTATGAAGGCTCAGTGCATTCCAAGTTGTTTGGTGCTGTTCGATTACTTCAAATGAAGTCAGATAGTTCTATTTCTCAATTGAGTATGAATTCTATCATTGGGCTTATGAATGAACTTAATCTGAGTAACATTGACCTACCCAAATATTTCCACACGGCAAAACATTAGTTTCCAAGTTGGGTCTTTCATCAGAGATGATTCATTGTTGTGAGAATGGTTGCATGTTATTCTATAAGGATGATGCATCTTTAGAGAACTGTAAATTTTGTAACAAGCCCCATTACAAGGATGCCCCAAATGATGAAAAGAATAAGATCCCAGTGAAGGCGATACACTACTTACCCCATATACCAAGGTTAAAGAGATTGTATGCATCAATGAGCTTCACTCCTCATATGAGATGGCATTATGAGCATACAAGGCCAAATGGTGTTATATGTCATCCTTCAGATAGAGAAGCATGGAAGCATTTCGATAGGGTGTTCTCAAACTTTGCTAGTGAATGAAGGAACATTAGGTTGGGATTATGCGTTGATGGATTCACTCCATTCGCAATCTCTGCTGTACCATATTCATATTGGCCGGTGTTTGTTACACCATATAATCTTCCACCCGAGTTATGTATGGCAAGTCCATATTTATTTCTAACTTGTATTGATTGATGTCTAATTGATTGATGTTTACATACAGCCTTTGATTGATGAGTTAAAGTTATTGTGGCATCAAGGCGTGGAAACATATGATGTATCAATGATGGTAGGCTAGAATCACGTGTTTTAGTCGTAGTTTATACTCTAATTATTGTGTTTTACTTGTGTTTGAGTTGAATGTTAGTGTATTGTACTTATTGTGTATTTTATGCCTTGTAGGAAGTGATTTCGAGTTAAAAAGATATTCCGGAGCTAAATTGAATAAGTTAGAGCTTTAAAGTCCGAGTAAAAGTCCAAGGGATTAAATGGGGATCGTGTTCGGAGGGTCGGGAGCCGAGTATGGATATCAAAAATCAAGAAAATGAAACACTCTAGAAATCTTGCACTACCGCACCGCATGGGGCGGCGCGACACTAAATTTTGATGCTGTCTATCAGAACTTACTCTCTGAACTTCCCCACAAGCGCCCCGCATGGGGCGGCGCGAGGGGTGGCGCGCCTGTGTGATTTTCTTATAGTATTTGTCCTGTTTCGGCTAGAAAAAGGTAATTTCACCTGGGCCCACTCCTACATGGTATAAATACATCAAAAGCCGTTTTTGAATGGACTTTTGACCTTGGAAGCTTTGGGAGAGCATTGGAGACTACAAGACACAAGATTTCATCATCTTTCCATCAATTCAATACGGGAGTTTGGATTGTAAATTTAGATTGATGCTTTCTTATTCTTCAATTATAATTGTGATGATTACCTCTATGATTATGCAGTAATTTACCTTCAAGTTTGACGGATATGGTGTTTTGATAAATATTTATGAATTTTAACTCTAGTTCTTGCTTGAATTCGTTTATGGAGTTTTGAATTGTTGCAACTTTATTCATCAATTTATTTAATTGAAAGAGGAATATCTTGGTGATTATAATTGCATTATTTTATTTTATTTTATTTAATTCATTGATTCTATTAAGTAATCGTAGGAGCTTATTGATTGGTGATTAAATCAAGTTAGGAGAATATCCTAAGGACCAATCCATTAACGCATGCTTGCATACTTCACAGTGATTATATAAGTTCACCTCGTAGAGTTAAGATTTAATCGAGAGAGGAGTCTTGACTACATGTTTGAACTAATCATCGAGTATTTTCGTGAGAATCATTAGAACATTAGAGTGAATTAAACTAGAGTTAAATCCCAAATAGCTATCTTGCACATATCCTGCCAAAACCCATGTTCCTCACATTTATAAGAAACCACTAAGCGAATCTCTAATTCCTTGTTGTCTATTGTCAATTGCTTTATTTAGTAGTTAAACGTAGTGCATAATCATTACAAATCAAGTTTTGATCATCCTGAATAGCATTAAGCTAGAAATTACTTGAGCATTGTTTAAATCCAATCCTTGTGGAGACGGTAATTAAACTATATTATCTTTGACTAGCGAGTATCAATTTCGTGTTGTGTTTTGTGCTCGTCAAATTTTGGCATCGTTGCCGGAGATTGGCAATCAATAGTGTTCAAAATAGTTTTGGTGCTAATTCGGGAATTTTTATTTAATTTTATTTTATTCTTTACGGGTTTCCTTTTTCGTATGCAGGCAACATATTGACTCATATGGTGTATGACTCAATCTTCTTCAAAGGAATTGATTCCATACAATCCAGAGAAGGAAAAGAGTCTTCGCAAGTTGAGGAAAAAGAAAGAACTCACCGGAAAGTTCTTGGGGAAACCTTCTACCAAAGAAAACATGGCTAATAACGGTGAAGAGGAGGCAAATTTAGCTGCAAGAGAAGCAATACAACTTAAAGAAGGAGCGTCAAGGATAGCAGCTGAGATAGCCCGTAGAACTGTTGATGAGACCGTCAACGATGATGGGGGTCAAAGATTCAATCTAAATCGACCCTTGATGAAGAACAGTTCGAGAATGTTGTACCCAGGCATGGTAGATCATTGGGTGATTATGCCAGACCAGTCTATAACCATGGTCTGTCCAGTGTCAGACCTCCACCAGTAGCAACGAATAATTTCAAGTTGAAGCAAGGCTTGCTTCAAACTATCCAGAACAACTATGTCTTCGGAGGAAAGGTGAATGAAGATCCTAACACTCACTTGATTGATTTTGAGGAAATCACGAACACCTTCCAGTACAACAGAGTATCGAAAGAAGCAGTCTACCTAAGGGAATTCCCCTTTTCACTGAAGGATGACGCGAAGCACTGGCTTCGTAGCTTACCAATAGGGTCGATCAGGACATGGGAATATATGACTAGAAAGTTTCTTGACAAATACTTCTCAGCTGCAAAAATAGTGAAGTTTAGAAGGGAAATTCACAACTTCTGCTAGATGGACACCGAAACAGTTTTCGAAGCTTGGAAAAGATTCAAGGATATAGTGAGGAAGTGTTAGCACAATGGGATTAAATTGTGGATGCAACTCTAGGACTTTTGGGATGGACTGACACCTCCCTCACGCAGAACTCTAAACACTGCAGTCGAAGGTCCTTTAATGAAGAAGACTCCTGAGGAGATTGTGACAATTCTTGATGAGTTGCTGCTAAGAGTAATGATAGAAGAAGATCAGTTGGGGGTTCATAAAGTAGATTATAACACAACAGTGCAAGCCCAACTAGACGTCATGGCCAAAGAGATAATAAAGTTGACCTTAGCCAAGGTCCAGAGCCAACCATCACCAGTTTGTGATTTCTTTGGAATGGGTCATCCAATGTATGAGTGTTAGACCTTAGCTGTAGATGAAGTGGTAAATGCTGTGGGAAGCTTCGACAGAGGCAACTACCAGAGTGTTAACAATTTCAATCCTATGGGACAGAGGCACCCGGGTTTTTCTTGGAATTTACCAAGTGGCAGCCTGAACTCATGGCATCAAAATAACTCTAGACCCTAGGGACAAGGAACTCCAGGCTTTCAAAATTAGCAAAGGCAGCCGTATCAGCCTCCACAGTCTAATCAGTATAGCATGGAAGATCTAATGAAGGCCTTTATGATTAAGACAGATGAGAGGCTTGAAACCCATAGCTCAGTTGTACGAGAACATGGTGCAGCTATCAAAGAACTGGGCATGACTTTTCGAAACTTGGAAAGGCAGGTTGGGCAACTAGCTACTCTATTATCTGAGAGGGTCCTAGGAAAGCTCTCTGTTGATACTGAAAGAAATCCAAAAGAGAAAATAAATGCAGTATCTTTGAGGAGTGGTCACGAGTTGGAGGATCCCATAGTAAAGCAAAAGGATAAGCTGATTGACAGACATGGGGAGATTGTGAAAGAGTAAAAAACTGATGTCATTCAAAAAGGTACAGGGATGGTAGAGGATTATCTCAAGAAGAATGGGAAGAGTAGAGCTCAGAAAAAGAAGAAAAATGAGAGTTCAACAAATAATGAGACTAAAGAGAGCATATATATGCCACCTCTACCTTTCCCCCAGAAGCAAAGAAGAGAGAAGTTGGACAAACAATTCGAGCGCTTTCTAGAAATGTTCAAGTAGGTGCATGTGAATATACCTTTCACAGAGGTGCTCTCTCAGATGCCAACTTATGCTAAATTCATGAAGGAGATATTGTTCAAGAAGCGGAAAGTAGAAGAGACATCTGTAGTAAAGCTAACAAAGCATTGTAGTGCCATCTTGCAAAATAAGCTCCCTAAAAAATGTGGAGATCTAGGGAGTTTTACTATACCTTGCTCTTTAGGAAGTACTAAATTTAAAAAATCTTTGTGCGATTCAGGTGCTTCCATTAATCTTATGCCTTTGTCTATTTTCAGGAAACTGGAGGGAGAGATTGGAGAGAGAGAGTCGATCCATGTGCCCTTGCAGCTGGCGGATCTGTGATGACCCAAAAGGTCATCTTATGTTTTAGAACTCGAATCTGCGCTCTTAAGCCTTAAAAAATCTTATTTTTACCCTTTTCGATTTACGCGCGCAGTCCGGTAGGTTTCCGGAAAGCTTTTATTTTGAAAATTAATAAAAATAAGAATTTTTGCCTTAAAAATTAATTTTAGTTGACTTCGATCAATATTTTTTATAAACGGGCCCGAATCCATGTTTTGACGGTCCCGGTGGGTCCGTATCGAATTATGGGACGTAGGTGTATGCCCGTAATCAAATTCGGAGGTCCCTAACTCAAATTATGAATTTTTGATGAAAATTAAAAGTCTAAAAATTTATTATTTTTAAGAATTGATTGTTAGTATCGGGTCCGTATTTTGGTTTCGGAGCCTGGTACAGGTTCGTTATGATATTTAAGACTTGTTTGAGAAATTTGGTGAGAAACGAAGTTGATTTGACGTGATTCGGACCTTCGGTTGAGAAAATAGTAATTTTTAGGTGTTCTTGAGGATTTCATTCGATTTGGTGCTAAATTCGTAGTTCTAGGTGTTATTTTGGTAATTTGATCGCGTGAGCAAGTTCGTATGATATTTTTAGACCTGTGTGCATGTTTGGTTTGGAGTCCCGAGGGCTCGGGTGAGTTTCGGATAGGCCACGGGATGTTTTGGACTTTGGAAATCTGGTTTTTCTGCAGAGTCTGTGTTCTGGCATGTCCTTCTTCGCATTCGCGAAGAGTAAACTGGGCAGTTGAATTTTTCTTCTTCGCGAACGCGAAGGCCTGGTCGTGAACGCGAAGTGATGGGGGACTTACCCTTCGCGAACGCGACTGGCTCAACGCGAACGTAAAGCATGTGGGGACAAGGGGGGTGGTTGTTCGTTGCTTCATCGCGAACGCGAGTCATGTCTCGCGAATGCGAAGACCAGGGGGAGTGATCATCGCGAACGCGAAGGCTTGGCAGCCAGTACCCTTCGCGAATGCGACAATGCTCTCGCGAACGCGNGTGCTCTCGCAAACGCGATGAACACTGTAGCCCAGCACTTAACAGAATGCCCGTTCCTAATCTAGAAGCAGGAGTACTTTTGGTAGAGGCCATCCTCCCAGGACGTTTCATTCAGCGCTCCAGGCATCCCACGGTGCCTCAGGTGGTCGTGGCCCTCAGATGCATTATTCCGACCAGCTAGCCTACGGTGCACCACCAACTCCTATTAGTGCACCTCCACTCCAGAGTCATCAGGGTGGTTATTCAGGTCGACAGGGTTAGTTTCAGGGTCAGCATTCACAGCAGCCGAAGTTATGTTATACTTGTGGTGATCTGAGGCACATTGCTAGATTTTGCCCTCGAGCAACGGGCAGCTCACAACATCATAGTTCTCGTGCCATGGTTCTAGCACCAGTTGCTGCACCACCTGCTCAGCCAGCCAGAGACAGGGGTCAGGCAGCCATAGGTAGAGGCCAGACTGTTAGAGGTGGAGGTCAGGCCGTTAGAGGTGGAGACCAGCCAGCTAGAGGTCGTCCCAGGGACGTAGTTCATGGTGGTAGGGCCCAGCCCCGGTGTTATGCTTTCCCAGCCAGGCCTGAGGCTGAGTCATCTGACGCTGTTATCACATGTATTATTTCAGTTTGCAGTAGAGATGCTTCAGTTCTATTTGATCCGGGATTTACTTACTCCTATGTGTCATCCTATTTTGCTTCCTATTTGGTTATGCCCCGTGATTCTTTGAGTGCTCCTATGTATGTGTCCATACAAGTGGGAGATGCTATTGTTGTGGATCGTGTTTATCGTTCTTGTGTGGTCACCATTGGGAGTCTTGAGACTCGTGTAGATCTTCTACTTCTCGACATGGTTGATTTTGATGTCATACTGGGTATATATTGGCTGTTACCTTATCATGCTATATTAGATTGTCACACCAAGATAGTGACCTTAGCCTTGCAGGGGTTGCCTCGATTAGCCTGCCAACAGGGTTATCTCTTATGTGAAGGCTCGACATATGGTCGAGAAGGGG